CTCACTATTGTCTTCTTCCTGTATAATCTGATCCTAAGACTACTGTGAAGAATTTTTTGAGGTCTGTAGCTGTTGTCTATATTGCTGGTGCCATCTTGTGGTTGAGCCAAATAAAGAAAATTTCACCAACTTCACTGGCTCTGTCACTGAAGTGGTTGATTTGATATACAAATACAGCTCTAATATGATTTCCACACAGCTTTAAATTATCCTGTATTGGTAATTCTAATGGTTTTAAGAAGACAAAAGATCTGCTTTTCTGGTGGCAGTTTTGGCCAGATAAAAAGAATAGAAAATCATTTTCTTTTATTAGACTTATAGAATGAAGGGTGGACTGTTGAACATGGTTTATCTTCTTGAACCATTTGTATGCCAGGCTGCCTATTAAAACTACCCAAGGTAGCTCAGAGTGAATCACTGAGACACATACAAATAAAATAGAAAAAGATCCAGGTAATATAGGTAGCAGCAGAAAATAAAATATAAAATAAAAATATAGTCTTATGGAGTATAGCCCTATTCAGATGATGTTTGGAGTTGAATGAATGTATGTAAAGGAAGTGCTCTGTCTTCAATGTATGTTCATATGTTTGAAAGGTATAAATAGACCCTTCTCTATGAACAACTGTGTACCCATAGAGATCTCTCTGTTCAATTGGAAACCCTCTTTTTTCTGTTGTTGTCACCATGTGGACAGTTCCTACACATATATTGTGGTATGGTCATAGGCTCATTTCTTTCTTTTAGATGTAGTTATTTATTTAGTAAACTCTATGCTGGCTCTCCTGGAGACCTGCCCTAAGTGGATTATAAAATAAAAGATAATAAAAACATAAAACGCCATAAACTGTTAATTAAAACCCATCATTAAAAACCCAGCCAAAATATTTAAAAAAAACAAAAACATCAAGGAGTTTAAAATGAGTCCTTCACAATTCTCAAGCTAAAACTACAAAAATGATATTGAAAACCCACCCTTAATTTATAGCTTGGCTAAGAAGGATTGTTTGGGCCTGGTGCCTAAAAGAGAGTAGTGTAGGCACCAGGTGAGCCTGAAAGGGAAGAGCATTCCACAGCCAAGGTTAATGAAGTGCTGTTTCTGGTTGCCACCTGCCCCACCTCTGGGGGGGGGGGTAAACCAAAGAAAGGATCACAGTTACAAGGAATATAGCAAACAAAGAACCACTGTGATAAAACTGACAGGAACATTTAATAATTCCTATGAATATCAATTGATGTATTATTTAAAACTGTTAGCAATATAGTAACAGTTTTAAATAATATATCAACTGATGTTCATAGGAATTGTTAAATGTTCTTGTCAGTTTTATCACAGTGGTTCTTTGTTTGTTATACCACCTCTGGGGGGCGGGGCACAGAGAGCAGGGCTTGTGTGGAAATTCTTAGTCTGGACAATGTGGGAGGAAGTGGTCCTTCATGGCCAAAGCCATTCAAGGCTTTAAAAGTAAAAACAGTTGAGCAGCCAGTGTAGATCTTTCAGCCCTGGGATGATATCAGCCCTGTATCCCACCCCTGACAGTAGCTTGGCTGCTGAATTTTGGAGCAGCTGAGGTTTCCAGGCGGTTTTCTTTTTTTTCTTTTTTCTTTTTGAGCCCCCGGAGGGGATTTTTTCTTCTTCCAAACTACAAAAACTATCACAGAAAAAGGGGAGGGGGACTACATATACGGGACAAAGTATAGAAACCCACTACTGACTAAAAACCCAAGAGAGGAGATCCTCACTAGCTTCATTACATCAAGTCTTCACTTCATTTAGATCAATATAAACTGAGTCAGACATTTAAGTACTTTTTCCTTTTCATTTCGGCTGGAGTGCAGCTTCACCCTCGGAAGGTCCGGGAGGTGAGTCTGCTAGTGTGCCGCCATAAACCAGAAGTCTCCAGGCGGTTTTCAAAGGCTGCGGTCACACGGAGCATTAACCACACTACTGAGACGGATGATAGGCGGATTTTCCGGACGCGATCACACCGCGACATCTGGGAAGCGTAGAGCTCCCATGGCGAACCCGAGGCTTCCTGCCGAAGATGTGGAGTTAAAAACTAGTACCTCCGAGGTACTAGTTTCCGGAAACCGCGGGGCAAGGGCTGACGTCTGATCGCGTTTCCGGTGGTAGTCCGTGGCATCCGGCGCCCGCCCATGTCCTGTCGCAAACAGGTTTTTTTTCCCTCAAGTCTCCACAGGATGCGCACAAGCACCCAACGATGCATGCGCACAAAGAGGAAAGTCAAAGTTCCGTTGCTCCGCAGAAGTTCGTATGCCGTTGGTGAGATCGCGCCGCGCCGCTTCTTTGCCACGCTGCAGGATCGTCGTGTGATCACCACCTCGCCCCTACCCACGGGACCTCGACGGGATGTGTGATCGGTCGGCCGTGCGTTATTTTGCTCTGGGCCAAACTGCCACGCTCCCCCCCCCCGCATTTTACAGCCCGTGTGACCGGGACCAAATGCATGTAAACTGAGGAGGAAAAGCCTGCCACCATGACCCCACTCTTTTTAATGTTAAGTGCACCACAGTAATCTAATAGCTTTGTCTCCAGGGGGAGGGAGAGGGCAAAATTAATTATTTTCTGCAGGCCCCTGAAATTAGGCCCCTGAATTGACCATATTGTGCTTTGAGAAAGGTGAGGGCTGATGATGGAACACATTGGGTGCGTTCAGACGGGGGATTTACAACGGTTAGGGTGCCGGTTCCAACCGGTGTACTTACGAGCGTTCACACGGCGAACATCTGCCTCCCGTCCCTAACCGTTGTAAATCCTTTTACACCGTTGTACTCTGCCACTAGGTCCGAAGTGGTGGTAAACAGAGTACAACGGTTGCTTCCGATACAAACCGGCGTCTGATCGCTCTCCACCGGTGCCTAGCCACTTCCGTCGGAAGCCTGAGGCTTCCGGCTTTTCCCCGCCATTTTAAAAAAGACTCCTAGCGGTATGCGCTTGGGCGAAGCTTCGCCCTAAGCGTTTGTTTGTTTTTTTTAAAAAAGCCCTTACTGCAGCATTTCGGAGGCGCCGGGGACCTCCGGGAGGCTACTGTGCTCTTTAAACTTTAAAGGTAAGTCCTTACCTTTAAAGTTTAAATCTACTGGGGGGGGGGTTGAGCATGCGCAAAAATCGCCATTCTCTGAATGGCTGCCTATGCGCATGCTCAAACTGCTTTTTTTTAAAAAAAAAAAACGCCGACGCCCGCAGCGTGTGAGCGGGCGTCCAACGATGGGAATCGCAAAATGGAGGTGAGTGTGATCGCGTTTCTGCCGGCATAAACTGCACCGGTTCCAACCGGTGCAGTTTATGCCGGCAGAAAGCCCCCGTCTGAACGCACCCCATCTCTGTAATATCTGATTAGCTGAACCACTAGAGACCATTATCTTAGTACCAGCAGAATGAATAGTAGTTGCTGAAAACAGGATTATCAGGCAGCACCTGGGCAGCAGAAAGCCCTTCATGAGTGCCTGTGTCTCTCCTTTGTGGGCTTCTGGACTTTATCCCCAGGAGAACAGATGCCCTGTAGAGCAAGACCAATCTGCTGTTAGGGGGTAAAGTCAACACATTACTCAGTTTTATGGTCCCATTGTTTCTGTTTGAAAATTCCCAGTTTTTCCCTTTCCCTTGTGCAAAACCCCTGAATCTTTATTTTCACACCATTTCATGCTCTTCACTTTGAATTTTTCCTTTTTAAATGTACACCGTTCTAATCAGCTGTGTAGAAACGCTATATAAGAGAACAATGGTAAGGGATAATAGCAACAAAACTGGACAAAATGAAAAAGCTCACAATGAAAAAGGACATATTTATACAGCTCTAGAATGACCTTCCTGTTGCCAGGTAATCCTTGTCACTCTTGGAAGGCTCCAGAAGCCTTATCCTGTCAACAGATACAGCAGGAGGCCTGTCTGATAATTGCTTGTGAAGTATGTGTGTTTGGGGGGGGGGGAGTAGAATATGGAGATGGACTGAAGGGGATGTTGAACTCTCTCGTGCCTTTGAACTAAGTTTGAGTCCAGACTCCAGTGGTACCTTTAAGACCAACAAAGTTAAATTCTGGGTGTCAGCTTTCATGTGCATGCATACACGAGCATATACCCAGAATTAAACTTTGTTGGTCTTAAAGGTGCCACTGGACTCAAACTTTGTTCTGTTGCTTCAGACCAGCACAGCTACCCACCTGAATCTATCTTGTGTCTTTGATTACTTATCTGCTTGTTCCCTATAATGGGATTGGAAACAAAACCCTGCTGGTGATACACAGGATTTTTTAGGACATACCACCAAATTACAGGGAATCGGCATGACCCATATTCTGATTCAAGGATCAAGCTGCTGTAATGTCCAGTTTGCTGCTCATCCTCAGTACCTGAGTGAATGGATATCCACTCTCTCCCTCGCCAACTCATTGTGGTGATTCCAATGGAAAATGTCACCAGAGGGGAAAAAATAATATTTGCAGCAGTCTTCCACAGCTGGCTAAGCAAGTTTATTAAATTATTACATTAGAGTCTGAAGGAAATACATTGCATTAAATGTTTTGCTAAGGGAGAATGTATCCACATAGTAGTGAACATAATGTTGATTTGAATTTTTTTTATAAAGAAAACTGTCTGTAAATGTCAAAATATTTATAAACATGCAGCTTGGCTTTCAGACTTCCATGCTAGCTAGTTTTATGAGGAATAATTAGTGTGACTTTCCAAACTTATAAATAAGAAACTCTTATCGTAAAATTAAATGGACAAAGAAAAGACTGAGCAAGCATAGATGTAACATGGCTTTAAAATGTCCAGAATGTTTCAAATAAATCTGAAGAAGTATGCATGCACACGAAAGCTTATAGCACAAATGAAACTTTGTTGGTCTTAAAGGTGTTGGCCTTAAAGGGCTTGAGGGTCTTAAAAGTGCACACATTTAAATTTTGCTCCTAGTAATCCTAAATCATTTCCTGCTCCACAGAAAGAACATATATGCAAGAATTATGAATTAAATTACCTGAATTATGAAGTACTTGGATTTTCCTTTGCTTTTCTTTGTATTTGCCGGGAGTCGAATGATGTTCTCTGTTCAGTCTTTCCCTCTTTGTCTTGGCATGATGGTTATATTCATTTAGTAGAATCCTTTCAGCAAAAATCCTTGTCCTGTGCAGCAAAAGCCCAAATGAGTGAGTCAGGCACAGATGAGAGGAAGTAGTGGGTTTGGTTCTTTGGGTGCTCTGTGATTTTAAGCAGCTGGAATACGAATTCCGGGTGACAGCTTCTACCCTTTTACCTCCCCTAAAAAAAAAAAAAAAGCAAGTAGGGTTTGTGGGTGGTGGTTGTTGGTTTTTTTGCTTAAGACAAAAAGAGATCATTGGCTGCCAAAAAGCAATCTCTTGCTCTAGGATGGATTCAGAAAAGTCTGTGGAACAGTGCTGGCACAATGCTTGGTAGATTCTAATATTCATCTTCGAATGCAGATCGAAACACAAATACTTTTTCAAAAAGCACACTCTCCATAATGCAATTTAAAAGCTTTTAGTTGAAGAATAGGTTGTGTAACTTAGCCATGTTAATATAATAAATGTTTTCCCCCCTGGTTTGTAGATAATAATACGTCTACATTGAGTGCTGTGCCCTTTTTATTATTTCCTTAGAAAACAGTTAACTAAAGTGGCAATTGTATTAGTTTGAAATAAAGAAAGGGCATCATTCTTCAGTCCTTTGCATATTGGAATAATGCTATCATTGATCAGCACTATGCAGAAAGTAATCCTGTAACATTTTAAAATTCTCCAATATAAAATTATGGAATCATAAAACTGGGATGGGGAAAACCAGAAATGGAAAAATTTCCATCAAGTAAATAGATTACCATTATCCTCATTTAGCAACACAGAAGCCTTTTTCAAGGATCCCATTCATAACTTTCATACAGTCCGGTAGTGCTTTGGAGATCAATAAGATGTTCGGAGTATAGGCGTTCGGTAGTCAAAGATATCTGATGAAGGGAGCTTTGACTCCTGAAAGCTTATGTATACCCTGAAGATCTTGTTGGTCTCTAAGCTGCTGCTGGACTCTAATCTAGCTCATCTACTGCAGACCAGCACAACTACCCTCCTGAAACTATATGTTTTATGTGTGAGTAGGGTTGCCAGCTCTGGGTTGGGAAATACCTGGAGATTTTGGGGGATGGAGCCTGAGGAGGGCAGGTTTTGGGGAGGGGAGGGTATAATATCATAGAGTCGGCCTTCCAAAGTAGCCATTTTCTCCAGGCAAACTGATCTCTGTTGCCTGGAGATCGGGTGAAATCACAGGAGATCTCCAGCCACCACCTGGAGGTTGGCAACCCTAACACTGAGGAGGATTTCATCTCTCTGTGTGTGTGAGTGAGTGTGTGTGTGTGAGTGAGTGTGTGTTTGTGTGAGAGAGGGGGGGCTCTATTGGTAAAGGTTTTTTCTTAATATGGACTAATGCATACTTAATGTCTTAAATGGAACTATGTCTAATTACTATAACAAAAACAAGTGTGAGGAAAATACTGGGACTTTTCACAGAAAAAGGGGGCAGTGTTTCCTTTATCAGTCAGTTTAGTGGCTGTCTTCAGATGTAAGTTCTGAAAGGTTTTGTGGCCGAAAAGAGTGAGATGTTAAGGGGAAAGCAACATGGAGATCCCCATGACAACTAATCTATAGCCTACTAACCAGCTTCATTTTGCGTCCACTGTTTAAACAAAGTCAGTATCTAGGGACAAAGTCAACCTATTTTAGAGAATTTAATTCCATTATGCAAAATGTGTGTGTTCTTCTATTGTTTGATTAAAAGGATGAATCTTCAAATCACGAATGTAACCAGCGCATGATTCTCCTTTATGGTGTTGGCAAAGAACGTGAAGAGGCCAGGCATCAGCTGAAGAAGATTACCAAAGATATCCTGAAAATTCTAAATAGAAAAAGCACTACTGAAATGAACGGTAATCATCTGTGTGTACATTGCTGAATCTGTGGTTTTGAACATAGTATAGTGTATGGAAAATTATGAAAGGTTCAATTTATTAGTTATGTGGACTCTCAGTATTTGAATCATCCTATTAAAGGCACCAGACATTTTCTGGTGTTTATCGTGAAATGTAAACCATGAACTAGATTTATGACTGTGTTGTTTCATTACAAATTAAACAACTTTAAGTACATAATAACATGATAGAAATTTACATTCCCATGCTGAAGTTGAGAGTATGAAAACCTTCAGCTTGGTGGAACAAATAATAATTCTCACACATGTAAAATAATCCAGATGTGCTGTTCTTCGAATAGAATGCTGGATGAAAGGCAGAGGTGTTTTCTCCCCTGTGTTTTCCTATGCAAGATTGCATGCAAAAAGATTTCATATTTTGTCATTCTCAACTAAAGTAGCATTATGTTAGGGATTTGCAGTAAACTGTACTTTTGAAAGGATGCTAAACTATGTATACCATATTAACTATAAAAATAATTGTTAAAAAATTCAGCTGGTGATGAAGGACAGAAAGTAAGAAAGAACAAGCAAGAAGCATTTCCAACTTTAGAAACATTGTTTACAAAACTGCAGCAACTCTCCTATTTTGATCAACATCAAGTGACATGCCAGGTACATTTGTTTTGAAATAATCATCTTGTCCCATTTAAGCAAGTAGTATTAATAGGAAATGTATATCAATAGGACTAAATGTATATCAATAGAGTAGAAGGCCAAACATGATAAAGAGGAAACCAAGGAGAAGGGTTTTTTTTAGATCAAATCAAGCCAAAATTCTCCCTAGGAGCTAAAACCTGAGTCTATAGTACTTTGGTCACATCATGAGAAGATGCAATTCACTGGAAAATACAATAATGCTAGGAATAGTTGAAGACAGTAGAAGAAGAGGAAGACCCAGGGGTCGTTTCATAGAAAAAGAGCTAGGGGAACTCATTAGCATAACTCATTCGCATATGCCACACCCCCTGACATCACCGGAAGTGTGTCATAAGGCCACACCCCCTGACATCACCGGAATTGTGTCATAAGGCCACACACCCCACTCCCAATGGTCCTGGCCGCCGCCGGCGTAGCAGCTCCACTGCCGAGCCCCATGAGGGGCCCGGAGGTGGACCTGCAAGGCCGGCGGGAGTGCAAGGAAGCCCCACGAAGCCCCTCCCTGGCCCCAGGCAGGCAGGGGTGGGCAGAGGCAGGGAGGAAGCAACTTACCCTCCCTCTTCTCCTGCCTCCTCCTGGCTGAATGAGGGCTGGAAGCAGGGCGGCTGGAAGCAGGGGGCGGGGCTTCGTCATGTGCCCCGCCCCCCGTACCTCACCCAGGGGAACTGCGATCCCCCGCGTTCCCCCCCCGAAATGACCTCTGGGAAGACCCAACATAAGATAAATTGACTCCATAAAGGAAGCCATGCCCTTCAGTCTGCAAGACCTGAGCAAAGTTATTAACAATAGAACATTTTGGAGGTCATTAATTCATAGGGTTGCCAAAAGTTGAAAGTGACTTTAACACACATGGATGAGAATAGGGTGGACTCTTAATGGGCAGGAGAAAGCATGTGGAGAGTTTTGTGCTGGTACAGAAAAGATATTGCTGAAAATGTGGGAGGAGGCTCTTGAAAGATGATCAAAAGTGAACCTCTCAAGCTGCCTTGGTCCATCTAGCACAATATTTTCACTGTGCCTGAGACCATGGAGAGGCACTGCCAGCCAGTATTTCCCAACACTCTGCTGCTTGGTTCTTTAACTGGTAATGCCAGGGGCTGAAGTTGGAGTCCTGTGCTTGGAAAGCATGTAATCTACCACTGAGCCATACTGAGCTTGTAGGACAGAGAAGAAGAGAGAAACTGTTCCAGATGTAGGGAACATCATGAATTGTATCCTGAATTTTCTAGGGGTAAACCCCCCACTCTGTGACTGCATTTTCTCTGCAACCACAGAGGGGGGGGGGTTTACCCCTAGAAAATTATGACCTATTAGTGAGAAAACATTATAATCACATTTTGTAATTGCTCCCACTAGTATTGTCCACATGTTCTTTTAAGCAGCACATCATAATTGGTACAAACAAAGATCTTAGCTGCGTGTTGCATTCACTGCATGAAAATCTGTTAGAAATCTGACTGGCTTTCTGAACATACCTTCTTGACAGTCAAAGAAAGCTGGAGATGCTTGCCTAGATGTCAGAGCTGGCCTTGAGAGCTTTCTTTCTGGAGTCCAATCTTTATTTCCTCAAAGTGTTTTGGCGATTAGTGTATAAGGCACAATTGCAGCCAGGCAAGCTTTATACAGGGGTGAACTACACGATTCCATCTTAACACTGTTTATTCAAACATTGGTATGCCTTGGGACATACTGTACATCAATTGAGGTGGGGCAGCCATGTTGGTCTGAAGCAACAGAACAAAGTTTGAGTTCAGTGGCACCTTTAAGACCAACAAAGTTTTATTCAAGCTATAAGCTTTTGTGTGTATGCACATTAGCATTAAATGAGGTTAAAAAAAAAGAGGCTTTCTAGGACTCCACAAGGAAACTGGTCAACACTAGAAGCTTTGTCTCTAGCCAATTTGTTATAAATAGAGATGAAAGTCTGCAAGTCATCCATTTCCAGTGGTGTAACCAAATTATTTTGTTGCATCAAAAACATGAGGGACTCTTGTGACACGTGAAAGACTACCGATTTATTGTAGCATCAGCTTTTGTGGGCTAGAGGCCGTTCAGCATTTTCATTTCTTCTGGTGAAGTGGAATCTAGCCAACGACAGTTTACGTTATGATAGATTGTTAGTCTTTAAGGTGCCACCAGACTCCTTTTTGTGTTTTCAGGCCAGCAACACCTTTCCCCTTGTTTGTGTGGTGTCAAGGCAAGGACCTTTCTTTGAATGGCAAGGCAGGAGCAGGCAGAATTTTCATACTTGGTATGGCAGCTCTTCATGTGGTGAGTGTAATGAGTAGCCAGGTTTAAGAACCAGAACAGAGAATAAATTTATTTAATTATATAACGACTTTAAATCTCTGTCAAATCAAAGGCAGTTAACAAAGCAACAACAAGCTACAAATGCATAAAAACAATAAAGCAGTAAAGTTCAATTTGTTGCTGTTATTTTACAAAAACGTTATTTTTATTTTTATGCAGTTCGTATATTGAAATGATTTGTATTGCAGACAGCTTTGGGGAAACAATTTAAAATAGCTAATGTTAATTGTGTTTACAGGCGTAATTGTATTCCAGCTTTTTGAGTGGTTTAATATGCTTGTAGTTCCATTTGTTTTGCAGATTTCCAACAATGT